CATTGTAGTCGGTGGATACTTTTATTTTTGAAATGATATATAATTATTTCGACAAGAATAGGGATCTAACTGAGAAAGAGTGAAAGAAAATATGTGAACCTTCTATGATTTTGTGATCAAAATAATATTTTTGATTTCGAAAAAGAGATTTTTGGACTTATCTGACTGAGTTATTCTTGAGAAAATTAGCGCACGAAAAATAAATTTGATCAGAGAATCGAGGAAACAAAAAACGGATCCCTACCAGAGCTGCAGGCCTGTCCTGGTTCCTGGCAGGCGTCTGGCAGGCCATCAGGCCGTCCACCAGGCCAGTCTGAAATTTTGAAATTTGTCCTGGCCTGATCAGGCCATCCCATGTTTGTCCTGGCCTGCCGTCCAGGCCAGGCCGAAGTTGCTGGCCTGGATATAGTAAACTATTAATATGAATAAAAGAGACAAGACGACAACTATGGTTGATTAATTTTAACGCAGACAAAAATAGTGCTTTTCATCAATTAAAAAACTGAACGTATTTCTTTTTTATGTTTTGTTTACCAAAAACAAAAACGAATAGTCTAATATAAATGTTACTATTTGTTGTTATCAGCGTTTCTCTTTTTTATACATTTCTCTCTTATGTTTTCTTTTCACTGTGCGTTGTATATGTGAACATGCATTATTCGTGATATTTTGGTTATCTTTTTCGTTTATATGAAATAAACCTTTCATGTGATGAAAAATATCTATGATGATTGTCTTTTCTATTTCAACTTGCTCTGGCATGTGAACGGCCCTTTCAGAAGAAGGGGGAAAGCGGAGGATTCTGGAATAACTTTTTTGGAGGATATTGTTCGAAAAAGGAGGAAAAAAGGAGGATATTATTTTTGTTTTAAAAAGGCGTTCTAACATAACGAAAACAGCATGCTTGAGCAAAAATCAAGAGTTAACTAGAACTATAGATGACCTATAGGTAGTTTCATATTAACGATCAAAAATAAAATAGTAGCATGTGACAGGAAAGTAGTTAATCTAATCAAACAGTCATGCTGATGTGGACTAGACTTCATACAGTTGTGAATAAATGCTGGTTTTTTAGTGCGATTTCGTTGTACAGATTTGTACATCAACAGAATTAAGTTTACTTAGTGATCCTGAGATTTTCCGTTACAAAATTTATATAAGCTTAACGATTCACAAAAAATGTTTTCTCTTGAACGGTGATGATGTATCAAAAACTTATTTTTATTAACATATCATATATATGTATGTTTATATTTTCGTTAGAAAAACATACGTAAATAACTCGCGATATTATACCAAACTTTTTCAAGCGCATTTTCATCACTGAAGGACACCGTTTTTATTCTGAGATATTAAAATTTATATAGATTTTTATATAAGAATGCAAATGACAAGAAATGGTTAATGTATTTTTTACAACCGTTACTTTTGAGAGACATAAGTTTCATCTGATATAGAGGCCGAAACTTTGTAATGCCAAAAATACTGTCTCATTCTACACAAATATCTGTGTCTCAGATAAACACAATAAAACTATTAGAATATATAACAAATATTGTGTCGCAAAGTCCACTGACATAGTCACAGAAGCCTGGTACTAAACAGTAAAATCAAGTAGAACTAGCATTGCATAAGTCAACTTTTGTTCACTCACCAGATAAAATATTGCACAAGGAGATGAAAAGCAAGAAAAGAGGAAACTATATGACGCTGTTCGTGGATTTTTGATTAGATTAGATTAGATGCAGTAGTTGCTGATTATTGAAGCAAAACTACTAAAAAGACGGGAAAAGAGAAGATTACCAGAAAAAGAAGGTTAGAGAGAACCTTTTTGTAAAAACACAAGGAAAAGGAGGAGCATTCACATACCAGCACTTGCTTCTGTATGAAAGAACTTGTTATTCTATAATCTTATGAAAATAAATCAAGCAAATGACAGAAACTGAGTCAGTAAATGCAATACAGAATTATAGAATTTTACAAGCTTGAAAAATCATAAACATGAATCGGCCTGGTTCCGCCTGCAGGCCAGGCCAGGACAGAACAGGCCACAGGCCACTATTCGATTTCCTGCCTGGCCTGCAGGCATGCTAATTTAGACCAGGCCAGGCAGCAGGCCAGGCCAGAAAAAAGTAGCCTGTTGGCAGCTCTGATTCAAATCAAATTACGATTAAGACGTCAAGGGAAAAAACAATAGATAATTAAATAAAATATTCTAAAGAATGAATCATAAATTCCTTGCTGAAGAAAACATATTTCATGAGATGAATTTGATTGAATTTGAAAAAATATAGGCATATGTAAATAAAGAATAGCAACTAAAGCAATGGCGCCATAAATACATCATTTTGCTGTTTTCTTATAACTCCAAGAATGACGTGTTATCGATGTTGAACTCAAACAATATCGATCAAAACAAGCCAACATAAGAAAATAAGGAGATAAAGCTAAAACCATATAACCAAAATAAATTCTTAATTTACATATAATTAGTAGTAAAGATCCAACATTAATAGAGAATCCATCAACAAGAAGTCTATTAAGTATTGCTAAATAAATAGCCAAAATATTGTTAATCGAAGCAGCAATAAAATATAATGTACATGATGACCATAAAAGTCTACGATGAGTAAAGATCAGTAAATCAAGAATATTATCTATTGTTTCGAAAATCATCGATAAAATCAAAACAATTCTCGCTAGTTGTACAGCTATGTCAAGCAACATTTTTAATAGATTAAAAAACTGATGATATTCTTTCTGGCATGTGGAAAACTATGAAATTAATAGTGATATGTATAGCTCCGCTTAAGTATTTCTCTTCTGGCAAGATAAAAGATCTTTTCTATTTTTTTTCAAAGATAATTAAAGAGTGTTGTTTTTTCTAATAATATTTTTAGCAACAACATTGAGGTATAATTTATGGTATAGTATTATATATAAATAATCACGATCTAGTCGAAAACTATGCTAATTTATAGATTATTCATACGAACAATATTAATTAGTGAAATGAGTGGTATTCACAAAACACTCTTAGTCAAGAATGGTCTCCTATTGACAGTTTTTATTCATTAAAAATTACGAGTAGCGCATCATAAGAGAAGCCAGCTATGATTAGAAATAAAGATTACAGGCTAAGCCAGTGGTGCGAAGCAGTGATGAATGTATTATTTTGGGAGAGAGTGTGACCACGGTCCCAAAATGTGTTTAGAGATTGATTAAAGATCACATCAGGTCATTTTTAAGTTTTTTATACTGCGAAAAATTGAGAAATATTTTGATGAAAAGAGTCGATCCCTAAGTGCTCTCTCCCGATCTCCTCATTGATGTGACATATTTTCCCAAACTGAACTAATCATTTATAAGATTATAAAACTTTCGACTTAGTCGAAATATCAAACATAGCGAAAAAGTATATTTCTATATTAGACAAAGTAGGATGATGATTTTAATTTTTTTGATTGGTCTCATTCATTTTTGTTCACAATTCATTCTGATTCTCAATCATTGATGAGAGACATCGAATGTTGATATCAAGGTCTTCGATACAACGCAAAAACTTCGAAAGATGTCAGCACCATTTGATGTAATGTGAACACTGACTGTTGCTACTGAAATTCATTTACATTATCTCATAGCCATCAGTCTCGTTTTTTTTTCATCCTCTCAAAAAGATCAAAGTTCTCACTTAAAACTCTTCATTTTTGGAAGTAAACTTAGAACCAACGGAACTTTGTAACAACGTTTGAACAAAACTTGTGCGGATGTTCGATCCTTAGGTCGTCGTGACATAGAAAAAGCAATCACGAGTTATATGATAGGATAGGAAAAAAAGCGCGATATCGACTACAGTACAGTGCTTAGCATCGCAATAAGAAGATTTCCATAGTTATATGAAATAACTTACTTGAACATGCATGTTTGTCATCTTCATCTAGATTGTAATTAAATTATAATAAAATTTATGAGAAAATATTTATTTTATACTGAGCAATTTTGTTTGACGACTTAATCATTAATATGTAATGCGAACATTTTTTCTCTAAATAAATCTCTTGTAGTTTTCTATCAGGATTGTCTAAACTATTTAAACACATACTTTAAGATATTATTGAAGTGTTTGAAGCCAATTGTTAATACTTATTATTAGAATTAATACTGGAATTTTTTGAAGAAAATTTCAAAATAAAAGTTCTGAAAAAATCCAAGTAGTTTGATTCATAAGATTCTAATTATTCAAACGGAAATATTACTTTCATTTGGAGGTCTGTAAGTTCGTTAACTCATCTTTCCTTATAGAAAATGATAAATTTGTGTTTATTCTATTTTATATTCATGATCACGAGAGAACATTACCAACTGTTCAATCAATTTTTGCTCGATACTATTGCCATTCGATAAATAATGATGAGTAGAGAAAAGGTCTATTTTGATTTGGTTTTCTGGTCTTCACTCGTTGAATTATAGGTTTTTCACTCCAACTTTACTCTATGAACATAGAATCTCACTGAAGGATTCATAAAGACTGGCACATACAATGTCTATGTAGGTGCTCCAAACATTGAATTGCACTTGATTTCTATTCGATAGGTATGTCTCTATCAAAATGTTAAAAAGTTTTTATTCTCATGATTTTTATGTAATATTTTATTTAACTACAGGGTGTCCCAAAAGTCACCTACCAAAAAGAAAATTGTATATCTCCACTGTATTCTGACCAAATGAGCTGAGTTTTTTCCTGATGATAGAGAAAACTTCTAAGTTTTTATTGATCAG